CCCTGTGTCCCCGTTGCAGTCTCTAAGACCAGTTTAAAGAACCTTCTTAATAATATTGAGTATGCACTGGAGTTTGAACCTTAAGGTTCTCTTTATAGGAATATTTTGCATAAAGTTTAGCTACAAAGTTTATTACTCATTGATTTATAATTAGTGGAATCGCATCATTCCTCCCTTAATCTGAAAGGCACGTTTCATGTTCTCGCCCCTCTTCTTCTTAGATTACCCCCATGGCATTACTTTGGTGACCCCAGTTTCAGGCTCTGAGAAGAAACAGGTACTCCATTTCTGTGCTCTGGGTGCAGAGGAAATGCAGAAATTTGTGGAAGACCTAAAAGAGTCAATAGCAGAGGTGATGGAGCTAGAGCAGATCCGCATTGAATGTAAGGCTCCGCGCGGTCCAGACTCCATGCAGTCATTCTGTCTGTATGTACATATGTCTGTGTCTTGGGCATTTTCTTTTCTTTTTTTGTCTGTGGTTAGCAGGGGTGCCATTTCTGCTTTCAAAGAGGGGCAGAGGGAGCACAAGATTCTCAGTAAAAACTAGAAGGCTCCATTTGGGGGATCTGTTCCAGATTATAGTCCAACTCTCCTCCAATCAGCAATTTAAGAGCTTTTGTTGTGGCTACTTTAAAAAAATATATATTTTAAGGCTTCATAATAGCAGTATCAACACAGGATAATCTGGCACCAATTGGTTTTAAAGTAAAGTCTTTTATACCTTTGTCGTGCAAAGAGACCTATTTTATTGACGGTGACCTTAAACCCTCAATATGCAGAACAGGTAAATACTCCAAAGGAATAGCCACATGAGGTTGGAACTCGCACCCCAGAATGGCACCCTTGATTGTGATGTGGGCAGTGGGTGAAGGGGAGTTCTTAACTGATTTGGTTGGAAGTTATATTTGGGGAAAAAATATGACCAACATTATTCCATGTGCAAGTGATATGCATGTTTGTTCAGTGCGATTCAGGAGCTATGTGTATCTCCGGAAGGGCAGTTTTGTCTCTGAAATAGTGTGTTCTCCCAATTGGCCTGCTACTGTTTATCTTTGCATGAGTGTGCAAAATCCTCCATGATTCACCTATGTACTAGGTCTTATATATATTTCCCACTAGCTCTTCCAAAGGGCTCCGCCATAGTCACATTCACCGCCTTTCCAAGGTTTTAGCCAACTGGCTGAACCACACCACTCGAACAACTTATTCACACAAGGGTCAGTCAGCAACCATAGGAACTGAATATGTTAACAGATGTTACAGAAGGGTAGCCAGTTAGCCAGTCCATTCAGACTCCTGGAGTTCATATCACTGAAGGTCCACCACAGAATTCTAGAAATGTTGGTCTGGACTCTACCGGTGTGTCACAAGCATATTCTGAAGTGTCCACCTGGTTGCCTTGCTGATATCTCACTCTAAAGATCACTTGCTAGTACATTTAGATGGTCTCTCTTGATTTGAATGATATATTGGAGTAGCCCTGTTCACACACACAGATGAACACACATAAAGTTGCCTTATACTAATAGATCTTTGGTCCATCAGAGTCAGTGTTGTCTGTTCAAACTGGCAATAGCTCTTCAGGATCTCAGGCAGAGGTCTTTCACATCACCTGCTGCCAGATCCTTTATTGGAGATGCCAGGGACTGAATCTGGGACCTTCCGCATGCCAAGCAAATGCTCTGCCACTGAGCCATGGCCCCTCCCTGTTTCTGCTTCTTCAGGTGTTAGAAGGCACACCAAGGAGTGCGTCCTGTTTTCCCCTTATCCACTGTAAAGCTCCATAGGTGGGGAGTTGGGTGGCTGGGATGAATGGGTTTCTGATACACAGTTTATATAACCCAATGTCCAGTGGCACTTTTAACACCAACAAAGTTTAATTCTGGATATCAGCTCGTGTGTGTATGTACACTTTTTCAGATACTGGACTCAAGCTTTGTTCTGTTGCTTCAGACCAACGCAGCTACCCACCTGAATCTGCCTTTGGACGTTGTATTGAATATTTGTCGGCTCCTTTCATAACGTCCAAAAACTGCTCAAAATTGGCATCCCTTCATTGATGCCCGTTGCCCTTTAGCAAAAACGTGGTGCCAGCTTGGCATATTGATCTTTATTAGAGACAGGCACTAATGATCCTGCTCATGTTGAATACTGCCTTTCCTTGAAGGAAACTAAATAGAAATATCTTACAGGAAAAGTAAGAGAAGAAGGAGTTCTCAATCTGTCCTGCATGGGCTCCCTCACATTTCCCCCCCCATTTTCCCCCTTTTTATTTACTTTGGGCAGGGGCAAGGGAAGGGTCATGTCACAGTGGCGTAAAACACATGGCTACAAGCCTTACAGAACCATCTCAGAATGTGTGCAAAGGACCATTAGTCTGAAAGAACCCCATATCAGAATCTGCTTGCAGGTATTGACAAAGTAACACAACAAAGAGAAGGTGGCGGGGGAAGGACAGCCCTAAATAAGGGATTGTGCCACATGCTCTTGCTAGATGAGTGTCAGGCTGCTGCCACACAGATGCTTTGCTCCATTTTTGCTCCCAAACCAAAACACTTCATTTTTTAGGCTCCCCAAAGACATCCTCTAATCATCCACACTTTCTGGGTCTTCCGCGGCTTTGCCAAGCCTTCTTTGCTACAGCCTTATTTGAAAGAAGACATGTTTTCTGCTCATATTGGCACCATTTCCCTTTCTTCAGCCCCTCATGGCCACAGACATTGCCACTGTGCCACAAAAATCAGAAGCTGCTATAGTGCTATAATGCAATGATGTTATAAATGTGGCTGCTGTAGATTTTCTGGGTTGTATGGTTGTTGTAATGATCTGTTGCCGTAATCTACAGGTTCCTCTGTTCCCAGCTTCCATTTTTTTTAAAAAAGGGTCTAACTCTTTTCATTGTGAAGGTATATGGGGAGAGGTAGAGACTTTTTTTTGTCCAGATTACCTGGAAAGTATTTAGGAAGGAAAGCAGCAAGATGGCTGGAAAACCGCAGGAATATGCTGCTGACCAGTTTGTGTGGATCCTCCATTGCCGCTGGGAATGCCTATGCATTTGCAGCCACAGTGAAAATAAAACAAAAAGTTGTTGCACATTTCAGTGTATTTTTTGCCACTTCGACTTTGGGGAACAGTTCAGAAAATCATGGGAACTGGTGAGAGGAATCAGGTAAAACTGACATGAACCTTTTATCCATCCAGTGGTTCAAAAGCAACATTTACCTGTTTTTAATAATATGCTCTTAAAATTACCGTCTATAAAAGGCTAGAGAGCTTCAGTAAGCAGGGGGGAAAGGATCTGAATTCCAGTTTTACTTTTGTCATGTTCTTGCTGTGGTGCAGTCTCAGATAACTCATTTTTCTCAGCTTTCCCTCTGGCTAAGATGGAGGACTGAAGCGTTTCGCGATCGTGCGAAGCGAGCGACGGCCACTTTTGACAGTTTGGGCAATACACAGCCCAACGCATCACTCCCCAGCGAGGGGGGGGACAAGCAGGCAGCAGCGCCCTAGAGGGAGTGTGAGGTTGGCGTAATCCAGCTTCGGAAGAAGCTGAATTGGGCTTTGACCTCCTCCCACGAAGAAGGCAAGTGCCAAGCAACTCTATAGTGGCCGATCGAGCCGGATTACCGGCATAAATTCTTCGTCAGCAGACCTCTTTGAAGAAGGACAACAACTGTGAGTTAAAAGAAACAATGCGAAACCCGTTTTGAACGTGCTAGATAACAAAAACGTGCCGCTTACCTGAACTGAGTTTGGAGTCAATTTGAATTAAGCGGTTGAGCGGAAAATGAATAGTAAATCCCAGAAATCCGATTCCGGAGAGAAAAAAGTTGATTGAAGCCTTTAAAAACTGTAAAAACGCTTATTGTTTAACATTCCTGTGGTGAAGATGGAGCCGTGTGCGCAACTGTAAAATCGAAACTCACGAACAATAGCGTGGGAAGAGCAGGCTGGTGTCACAAAGAAAGAGGTCCGTGTGAAACATCCAGGAAGTTGAATTCCTAGACGGGCATTAGCGAAAGGAAGACAGTGGAACTTTTAAAGGTGCCGGACCGGAAGTGAGTTTTATGCGGAAGGAAGGGCCTGCAAAATACCAATCTGACCTACTCTACATGAAATTACCATAGAGAAGTTGCGCCCGACATTTTGAGGAGGACTTCAACTAAATTTGCTTTTTTAATATATTTCTAAGGGTCTTTGGAAAGCGTAAACAGAGAGGCATGGAGGACTAAATCTTATCATCTAGAAGAGTGCTTTATTTTGCGAATCTGTGAATTGGAAAGAAATCGCCAAGACGGAGACCAGGAGAGGCAAGAAAAGAGCCGACTCAGACCCAGAACTTAAACCGGTTGTGAGACCTAGGATTGGATCTACTTCAACCCCCAAAATGTCAAGAATCAGCCCTTACATTTGAGAACATCTGCATAGCGACTGAGGCAAACCCAAGATTTATACTATGGTTCATGTGTGTCCAGAGCAACAGAGATGGTGCCAAAAGTGCCCCCAAAATGTTACCATTATTCATAAAGATTATTTCCTGGTTTAGTCTCTTGTGAAGTGAACATGGCTGGAGATGTGTGTCACATACACATTTTACAGGAAACTAATTCCATACATAATTCCCTTTTTCTTGCGTCATTGTGCCTTTTTCCTACAAAAGGACTAGTTGTCACAGTCTCAGATAACTCATTTTTCTCAGCTTTCCCTCTGTAAAATAAGAAAAATAGTAAATAATAGTAAATATATTGCACAATTTTGATATGAGGATCAGCACAATTATAAAAATGATTTTTTTACATTTTCAGTGAATTATAAAATTATTTAAAAGTTATTTTGAGATTTGCAATGAATGTTTACATGTGCAGATGTTCACTGAGAAATTAAAGCTTTTAATTAATGCATTTTAAAACTTATCCCAGCCAGTGGGATAGCGTAGTCTATAGGATGCACCATGTAACCAATCAGACTTGCCTGCATGATGTCATCAGAAAGCCGATTCAGAGTGAGGCCAATAACTCTTTCCATCATTCTGCTTTGGCTTAGCAGTGACACAGTACCATCAATTCAGCTTGTCAACTGGAGGTATTGCACTTACCCTGAATAGATACTGGGAAGAGAAGAGCACAGCCATCTCTCTGTAAATACCATTTGTGGCCTCCCTGAAAAATCTCTAGATGGAGGATATTTTTGGCAGAAGGGACAATGTTATTAAAGGCACTCTCTCAGTCTGGCCTGGCCCAAACTGAACACCAGGCTGAAAACAAAAAATGCAGGAGAAACTCAACTTTAATTTGAAAAACATACCCCTGGCTTTTGTGATTGCATGGAGCTTCCCAGCAATCCTGTTCTCGTTCTGCTGCTTTGTTCAGCAGATATAGGATAAATTATTCCAAACAAGCAAATGCGTGTATATTCTTGTGCATAATTTATACAGGTTGCAGGATTTGTATTTCCTTAGCACGGAATGTAGACACTAGGCATAAATGTTTGATGTTTTCCAAATCATAAACACATCCCTGGTTGCAGTTGATCTAAGTAATGCTGGAAATTACGTTTGGCAAGCCCAGGGCCTGTAAAGGATTGCAGGAGAGGGGGACAATCTAGAACCCCCTCATCCTCCCCCCTCCCCCAGACTTTAGAAGCTCTCATCCTTCCTTTCTATTTTTTTTCCCTTTCAACTGGGTCTCAGCAGCCACCCTTGCCCTCAGGAGCACATTCATCAGGCCATTTTAAAAGCCCCCCCCCTCCACTGTCAGTTTATTTATAAAGGCATATTTTTCTGCATACTCTGCAAACCCACTGTGTATATAGAAACCCCTGCCTTCTCTGTGCATGGCTTGATTCTGCAGCTTTTACCATCTGTACAGAGGCCTGTCAGATTACTACTAGATGTTGCAGTATAAAGTAACATGTGTGTGTGTGTGTTCTTACATGTGCATTACATGCACGTGTATAAAGTGTGAATTGGCTACCCCGTTTTTCTGTCTGTATACCTTTGCTGCCTTCTGTTTTGCCTTACTTTCATATCCCACTTTCTTCTCTCCTGTTGTTGTACTTTCCTTGGTTTCCTCTCTCCATTTATCCGATGGTTTCCTCCTCACTTCCAGGGGAGCTGGAGAAACAACACGGGGCAAAGAACCTTTCCTTAAGGAGCAATGGAGCTCAGATGGAAACACAATCCAAGCAAGGATCTCCAACAGGTTAGAGTCTTCTCTGCATCTTCACTTCTCAGCCAGAAGATTCATTTATTCATAACTTTATTTACTTCATTTGTCCTGAGTGGGAACCCAAAGCAGCTTACATTGTTTTCCTCTCTTCGATTTATCCTCAGAACAACACCGGGAGGCTGTGAGTGGGTGATTGGCCCAAAGCCACCAGCTGTCTTCCATGGCAGAATGAGGACTTTACAGGGCTCTTTTTGTAGCAGGAACTCCTTTGCATATTAGGCGACACACCCCTAATGTAGCTAATCCTCCAAGAGTTTACAGTAGTCCCTGTAAGAAGAGCTCTGTAAGCTCTTGGAGGATGGGCTACATTAGGGGTGTGTCGCCTAATATGCAAAGGAGTTCCTGCTACAAAAAGAGCCCGTGGCGCCATGTTGGATTAGTTAATTGTCTTGGATTTGGAGCACAGGAAAAATGGGTGGAAACATAAAGGACTAGGTGTGTTCAGTCTCTATGAGGGAGATTCCTATAGATTTAATCCTTGATTTGTGTCAAAGTGGAAGGCTTTCTTTAAAAAAAAAGAAAAAGAAACACACCATATTTGCCAAGGAATATATCCAACATGGTTATGTGTTCTTAAACCTCTTGCTATACCTTTCCTCAAAGTCAGCGCTTTTTCTAGGTCTGAAATTGAACCTGGAAGGCCTGTGGCTCATCCTTTGGCTGCCTGATGGTTTGGAACTCAAACACTTGAGCATGTCATGCTCATTTATTTGGGCCAAACCTGTAAGGATCTTTATTTGGGCAAGCCTTCCAAACCTGTCTTGCAACACTGTAATGAATAAACAAGAAACCCAAAAAGGAGTGATCCTAGGGTTGCCAGTCTCCAGGTGGGGGCTGGAGATCTCCCAGAGTTACAGCTGGTCTCCAGATGACAGAGATCCGTGCCCCTGGAGAAAATGGCTGCTTTGGAAGGTGGCCTTTAGGGCCTTCTACCCTGTTGAGATCCCTCCCCTCCCCTCCCCTCCCCAAACCTCACCCTCCCCAGGCTTCATCCTCCAAATCTCCAGGTATTTCGCAACCCAGAGCTGTCAAGCCTAGCTGGTCCTGACTTGTATAGTCTCAGGAGGCAGACATATTTTAGGCAAAAAGGAAGAGGGGATAATTAGAAAAAATAAGTATCTAAGTTACAGGCTTAAAATGGTTTAACAGTCATTATCTTTCCATAGGGAACTAGTCTTGTGAAGGCAAAGTGCTCTACTAGACAAAACACCAAACTGCAAATCCCAGTATTCTTTTGGCAGAGTCATGAGAATTGAACTGGTGTAACACACTGATATAAACTGTGAACATAGATTTGCCTTGAAGCACCCTCTTAATCTAATGACAATAAGCCAACCTCCAAAGAGAGTCCTCCTCCTCCTCCTCCCTCTCTGAATGTATCTGTACTTTGACACTGTGTATATGGACACAGTTGGAGGCTAAAATTAAAGTTTTAAAATGTGAATAAAATAATTTCCCCCCCAGACTTAAGTTTCAGCTTTGATAACCACCATCCAATTCAGGGCTAGGCTTCAAGGACAGACACAGGGCACTCCAGATGGTGAAGAGTGTTAGGTAAACGTGCATTTTTGTTTCTAGTGGGGCTGTAATATTTAGTCAATTAACTGATTAATCAGTTTGAAAATTTTTGCTCCATTATGCGGCATGGGTGGGGGAATGGGTGCATGATGTTGTGTGCGCTGCATACTGTAGCTCCAGGAATCTCCAGAAACTCTATGGTAAAACCATAGAGTTTCTGACTTGGAGCATCAGTCGGTAAATAGGGCTGCCAATGGGAGGCTTCCTGCCATAGTTTGAGGCCTGGCAACCCCATACTCCACTATGGGGTTATAAAATCTTGTTAACAGTTTTAACGCAAAAACTATTTGTGGTAAGCACCATTTTAGAAGAGGTCTTCACACATGAGGGAAGTCTTTTCTAAGAGGGCGCCAGGTCATATGTTTATAATCTAAAAGCAAGAAAAGTGTGCTATTTCTCTTCAATTGTATTGTTTTATCCACATATAAACTTCATAAATTAGTTATTGATTAATTGATAAAACTCATACAGATATTTGTTTTTTGGGGGGGTTGGGTGAAGCGCTTATTTGGTAGAAACTCTTGCCATTAGAAGTTTTTATTTGTAACTGAAGAAGGGGTCTGTTTGGTTTTTCAGCCAAAAGAGATTTGGGGGAGAAGATCCCAGACAGCACAGTGGAGGTAAGTAGAATGCGGAGCAGCTGAGGTAAGTAATTCTCCCTCACTTCAGCTCTTCTTACATTCTCTGTTGTTTCTTTTCTCAGGTTTTAATCAATGCCTCCCCAGCCAGACTGACAATTTTACCAATTTCCAGAGATACAATAAAAAGTTACTGCTAGGACGGGTAATACAACTTTCAAATCCAGATTAAACTTCAAAGCATTTTTTTCAAGCCGTTTCTATAACTGTTAACACATCCTTCATGGAGCGAATGCCCGAACTCTGGAAACTAACCTGCTCCGTCCTCATCCCTCACCCAACACACTTTCAGGAGAAATCAGAGACGCAGCTGAGATGAACTCCCCTGAGAGGTCTCTGCCCCTTGCTAAAACTTAACTGCTGTGATCTTTCCCTCATAGGCTCTTCTGCCTCAGTGTCTGTCACCTCAGTTGGGGCCTAGAACGTACTCGTTGCGGTTCTTCATGGAAACTTGGGCCAAAGATTTGCCAACTGGGGGAGGGGGGGTTGAGGTAACTTTATTCCTTGGGAGTAAGGACTCTGTTCTAGGAGTCCTTCTGCACATCCCACCTCCTCAGGTAAACTCATCTATGAGAAATCTCCAGAATATTTCCTTTGCCCTGGCTTTGCCCTCCCCCCAGGCTCTTTCACCTGGCAAATACCTCCATCTATCTCTGCCTCCATCTCCCCGCAGGTGTTATTTCCCAAGGGGGCAGGTGCTTCAGCTCTCCACTAATATCCATTTCCTTAAAGAACCTCCGTTTCTAGGCTGGCACCTGGCTTCATTACCGTTCAGATGCTCTTCTCAGTTTCTGCTGTTCTGGCCTCTGTTCTCTGAGGCCGTTTTCCCCACAGCTTTCTTGTCCATGGCCTGTTGAAAAACTCCATAGCTGAAGGTGTGCTCATGAAGATGTGCTTCACAGGAGCTAATTCATCATCCTGCTACTCCTGCTAATGGGGAAGAGGGGCAGATATTTCTATGGCCTTGCACACACCTTTTGGCTCACAGGCATTTCTTCTCTGTGAAGGAATTTTCACTTCAGGGATGCAGAATTCTAAGGAGGGAAATAAGGACACTTAACCATTCTCTGTTCATTGGGGGATTCCCAAACTAAGCAGACATCCCTCATATCTGTCATTTGTAGTCCACGGAAGAGGTTTTTTTCTTCCCATTCCTAAACCACCACCCTCTCACTTCCCAGAAGGGCCTTTCAGCACACGTGCCCTTCTGGAACATTTCTAGGACTGTGTCTATTGCCCTGTGGGGACCTCCATGCCATCTTAGTTCCTGCTTTCAAACTGAGATTGGGAAACCCCAAAAACGTTCTCTGTGAAGACACATCTTCTTCCTCCCCTCTCCCTCCTCTTACTCCTCAGCAGAAGCGAGCATCTCCATTTTCTCTGAGATTACCTGATCTGCTGCCATTTCACCAAATTTCTTTTTTCCCCCCTCAATCATTGTACAAGCTGGGTGGATACTTTTTCTTCCTCTTTTTGGCATATGTAAAACCATCTCCTTTCACTTGCAAACCATCAAGTGGATCAGAACAAGCTTCAAGTTGGCTGAACTATGTCAGATTTCTGCTTTTTCTAGTTTTTTTCTCCCCTTTTTGTAAACAGATATATGTGCACCTTCCTGCTCAAAAAGACAGGAGCTGGGAAGAGCTCAAGTCTTTCTCTGAGCGTTAGCAAGTCTCATCTTTTGATTTTTTTTCTTTGCAAATATGTGCAACCTCAATTATCCTTCCCTCTTTCAGATGATGCAAGACCTCCTTGGAGCTCCAATCATAGAGCAGAGCTCCATCAGAAAATGAAGGACAGAGCATATAAGAGAGTCCTTTTCTCCAGTTGTTTTCAATCACAGACAAAAACTACTAGGGGAGGGGGACAAGGAAATGTAACAGGAAGGAAAAGAGGGCAGCCCAAATAATAAGACCATTTTTGTTGGCTTGAGAGGTGGTATCTCAAGCCACCAACGGCCTATGTCTCCTCAAGCTGAAATCCCTCTCCCTCTCTCTCTCTCACACCTGCTCTGAGTTCCACTATCAGATTGTGTCTGCATAATCCGGATAGTTGAGGTTGTGCTGTATGTGGAAACAGCATCCCCGCCTTTGCTATGTGGAGATCTTTATTTCTAGGATGTTTTCAGGTTAACAATTGTGGGGTGGGGAAGAGATGGATTGTGGAAAGAGACAGGTGTGTCGGCAGGGCCTGTGGGACCAGAATGTTTAGAAGAAAGACCACACATGCTTAAGGGCGGGTTGCGGCTTATCGGGGACAAACGATGGATGGAGGAGGTGGGTTGGAGGGCAGCCAGCAGCAGTAGATGGGAAGAAGTCTTGTAACATTTAATGCTTCTTTGACTGTTTCTAAACTAGGTGTCAATTCACAACAGGCTTCAAACGTACCAGCACAACTCCGTCCCGGGGCTCGAGACTGGAATGCAGCCCAGCACGCATCCTAACATGCCACGGGAGAGGCTGGAGACAGCATTGGTGCCCTCTTACCCTGCCTCAGCGGGGACGCTTGTACAGTGCCAGCAGATTGTCAAAGTCATAGTCTTGGACAAGCCGTGCCTCGCTCGAATGGAGCCGGCCCTCAACCAGACTCTGACGCGCTACGTCTCCTCTGATTCCTGCAGCTCCACCCCCTTGCGCGGTCTAGGCAGCGGGCTCCAAGGGACCCCAGTGAAAATCATCCATCAGCCCCCACTTCCGCCGCCGCCGCCACCCTACAACCACCCGCACCAAACCTGCCCCCCGAGCTCCTTGCTTGAGAGGCGCAGGTACTCCAGCGGCTCACGCAGTCTAGTGTAGCAGCTCCACCAGCACTGGCCAAAAAACAAACAAACAGCACAGACTTAACCCTGGGACCCTTTTCTGTCTTCAAAGAAAATCTAGTTTGTGATTTATTTTTTAGTAAAAAAAAAAGTGAGAGAAGCAAAAACAAAGCAAAAAAAAAATTACAGTACATACTATGAACATACCTAATTCCTCCTCATTTCTCTTGAAATAATTCTGTTTGTGAGGAGCCCATCTGTAGAAACTGTCTGAGAGCTCAAGAAGATGTTTCCTGCCCAGCCATCCAGCCATATGCTTGCACCCAAACAACATGGCGGTCTTTTGCTGCCATGGTTTTGTTCAGCTTTTCTATTCTTTGCTTTGTGTCTTCAGTTCTGTTCATTTTCCATCTATCCATCCATATCTCTCTCTCTCTCTCTCTCCCCCCCCCCCTTCCATTTTCAGCTTCCCGGTGTTTCTCACCATTGCCACAGGTTTCTGACCAAAATACTTTAATTACCTTTGGGGGGGGGCATGGATTTTGGATAGTCCACCTTGTTGGGGCTGAGGAGCCGCTGCCGCCTTTGCTGCCACCGCTGCTGCTGCCACCACAGCTTGCTAAGTTGAAGCTGAAACCTTGTGCCACTTCCCGCGCTTTCTCTTCATTGCCTTTTGGGGAGGGGGCGTACCCCTTGTTCTTGTGCAGCTGTCAGAAGAGAATGTCGGAGAGAGAAAGCTAAAGAAAGAGAGAGTGCGCCTCTCTATCCTGCACTGTGGCTGAACGCAAAGATGGCCTCACCCTGGACATTACAACCTTCTCTGCAGTTACATTAAAGTGTCGTACTGAGAAAGCTCTGCTGGGCACCAGCAGATTACATCACTTGTAAATATACACCTTTCTGGTTGAATGTGTATGGACTATGGCCGCCTATGGGAAGCACCAGACGGTTCTGGTAAAGTCAGGGTAAGGGGAGTGATTGGATCTAGAAATCTTCCTGGCATGGCCACTTGCCTAAATTAATAACCTCAAAAGGCTGTCCCTTTCTGGGGTTGTTTTTTTTTTTTTTTTAAATCTTAAATTGATTTATTTTCCACCACTCAACCAATATCAGGCCCAGCAGCTGGCTCACAAAACAGAGTAAAACAACAACTTTACGCAGGACTGATTAGGTAGAAAGGAGGAGGTTCCCCAAACCTGGCTGTCTCCTGCTGTTTCCTCTTTCACCCCCCAGCTAATTTTTGTCCTTACTTATCACAGGATTCTGCACCGCTGGTACACAAACCTTGTTCAAATTATAGGAGCCCCTCCAAAAACTTTGACTCGGATTTTATGTCCAGGGGAGAGAAGTAGGGGTAATAATGCCTACATCCTTGCCCTGGTCATCACAACACCAGTGTACATATTTTCAGAGAGATTCCAGGTTCTCTGTTCCATTCACATGTTCCTTCCTCTTTATATTTTGTTCTGGTTCTGCTGACTTAGTTTCTGTGACTGATTTATCTATCAAATTTTAGGCTGCCCTTTCTACAAGGCACACAATTTGGCCTACATCATTCTCCTTTCCCCATTTTATCCTCGAAATGATACTGTGAGGTAGTAGGGCTGTCAGGTCCTCCCTGGCCACAGGCAGCTGAGTAGGGTTGCCAGATCCAGATGGGGAAATTCCTGGAAATTTGGGGGGGGGTGGAGCCTGGGGAGGACAGGGACCTCGGTACGGTACGATGCCATAGAGTCCAACCTCCAAAGCATCCATTTTCTGCAAGGGAACTGATCTCTGTAGTCTGGAGATGGCCTGTAATTTCAGGGGATCCCCAGGTCCCACTTGGAAGAAGAAGAAGAAGAGATTGGATTTATACCCGCCCTTCATGACCCAAAAGAGTCTCAGAGCGGCTTACAAACTCCTTTCCCTTCCCCTCCCCACAACAGACACCCTGTGAGGTAGGTGGGGCTGAGAGAGCTCTGACAGAAACTGCTCTTTTTCAAGAACAGCTGTGCCAGAACTATGGCTTGCCCAAGGTCATCCAGCCAGGTGCAAGTGGAGGAGTGGGGAATCAAACCTGGTTCTCCCAGAATAGAGTCCACGCACTTAACCACTACACCAAACTGGCTGGCATTCCTAGGTAGGTTAGGTCAAGAGAGAATGACTGTCCCAAAGGTCACCATGGGAATGTGTATTCAAATATCCAAAGGGATAGGCCAGCTCTGTAACCACTGGCTTGTCTATTTAAGAGAGCTGTCATCCTGAATCAGTAATATGTTTACAGAGGCAGAGAAATATGCCTTATTTATTTGCTTGTTTGTGTAAACATTTATATCCCACCTTTCCTTACGGTTCCAGGTGGCTTACAATAATAGTTAAAAACATTCTCAGTGTAATTTT